GGTCGAGGCTGCAGTGAGCTGAGATTGCACCACTGCACTCCATCCGGGCTAACAGAGAAGACCTGGTCTCAAAAAAAAAATTATATTAAGGTACAGTTGACAAATAGAAATTACATATATTTACAATGTACATGTTATTTTCATATGTGTATATATTGTGAAATGGGTAAATCAAGCTAAGTAACATATCTGTCACCACTATTCCTTCTTTATTAGCTTTTAATATGTATTAGTTTTCTGTAATTTTAGATTGCTTCTGAGGTTGTTAATGTCAGGAATGGCTCCTTGTAATACACTGTAGTGAACATGTGTTACAACAAGTCTTAATTTCAGATTTTCCTTATATCAAAGTATCCTTGAAAAACTCAAATGCTGTTATGGTCACATTTTTATATGGAGTATGCTGGAAGATGCACTTTTTAAAAATTAAGATTAAACCTTTTGAATATTTAATTGTAAAGGAGGAAATAAAGTGTTCAAAGTTAAAATGATTTTTGGTTTTGAGGTAAGTGTTATAAATAGGACAATGTTATAGGTCATTTCATGGCTTTTCTAAAAGATGGCCTTACATAACATACCTATATTATGTCTTTAGCAAAGTTGTTTTCAATTTTAAATAAGTTTCTTTTTTGTGACTGTGGAAAATTAAGTATTAAGGCCACTAAGGTCATTCTTGATTTTACCACACATAGATAATTATTAACACTTAGTTATTTACTCCAGTCTTTATTTTTCCTTTCAGAATGTCCCAGTGAATCCCCAGAATATACCTTTTAGACATTAATAACACAAATAAATGCTTTGAAGCTGCTGGGGGATTTACTAAACATTGTGGTTTTAAGGTAACCTAAAGACAAGGATGGGAATAGATCATGCCTGTATGTCAAACCATGCTCCTTCTTGGATCATTCAGTTTGATGACATCATGCCCAGCATGTTCTCCACAAAAGGAGATATTCCTCTTTGAATCATACTTGCATTTTGACATTTGAACAGTGCCTCTGCAGAAGGGGCAGTGATACTCTCCTCTGATTAGTTACTTTCTTCTCTACCCAGTTATTGTTGGGCTCCGGAGAGATGGGTTTGCTAGGCCAGTGAATGAAGGTAAAAGTCAGTGCATCAAAACTAGGCATGGCGTGTGCCTATAGTCCCCAGCCTATAGTCCCAGGCTGAGGTGGAGGATTGTCTGAGACTAGGAGTTGAGGCCATGCTAGGCAACCATAGCAGGACCTCTGTCTGCTAAAAAAAACAACAAAAGAAACAAAAAACATGAGTGCTCCAGTTCTGCACAGCCTATCAGTGAGACCTGTGATCAAGCTTTCCTAAGTCACCTGTGAAGTAACACATCTCAAGAAGAAAAGCACTTATTTTTCTTAGACAGTTTACCATCTTAATTATATGTGAATAGAGTTTATGTGAAGCCCACTACACCCACCTCTATTGTGCTGAGAAACATTTACATTTTTCCTCTCTTGCAAGCCTTAGGTAATTACAAGAATCACTTGCTGTCAGTCACAGTTGTCTTTGTTACTCTGGAAGAAAGGGCTGTTTTTTAATATTCCAGAGCCACTGAATTGTTTGGATTACCTTGTGCTTACTGAGGAAGAGCACCAATTCATTGTACCATATATGTATCCTGCTGTTTCCTGTTCATTAATATATCTTAGTGTGATATAAATAATTTTTATTTTAGTAAAAAATACATAACATAAAACTTATTTTAACATTTGCAAGTGTACAGTTTTGTGGCATGAAGTCTATTCACATTGTTGTGTCACCATAACCACCATCCATCTGCAGAACTTAATCTTTCCCAGCAGAAACTCCTTACACATTAAACACTAACTCCCTATTCTCCCCTTCTCCTAGTCCCTGGCAGACACCTTTCTACTTTCTGTCTCTATGATTTTGACTGCTCTAAGAACCTCTTATAGGAGAAATCATGGAATATTTGTCGTTTTGAAACTGGCTTATTTCTTTTTAGCATAATGTCTTCGAAGTTCACTCATGTTGTGTAGCGTGTATCAAAATTTCTTTAATTGTTAAGGCAGAATAATATTTCATTGTATGTGTGTACGTACCATAGACCTTAAAGGAAGAGGCTGAAGCACGAAATAGGATTCAAAGAGTTTACTTGAGCCAAAACGGGAACAGTTGACTGGAGGACTCAGACTCAAGTATCCTTGGATATGAGCTCCCCTTGGCTATTGTTACAAGCAGGTTTATAAAGGCATTAAATAAAAGGGACATGGAATGGGCTGATACTAAGTTGTTTGTCAAGAATTCTCACTAGTTTATAGAAATAACATTGGTTAGTGATTGACTATACATTGTTGAGATATAAGGAGTTGGTTATAATGTTTGGTGTAGTATCAGTAGGTTATTTTGTAGTTAGTTACTTGTGGCAGTAGCAAGCAGTTTCAAGACAGAAATATTTATCATAGCTCAAAGGAGAGAAGTAGGATATGATTGCTGTCATATTTTAATGCCTCTCTGGGCCAGATCATTTAAAAGGACTTGCATTCCTCAGATAAAAGTTTCTCTCTCAATATGGTATTTTGTTTATTAATTTGTCAGTGGAAACTTGGGTTGCCTCCATCCTTTGGCTATTATGAATAATGCTGCTGTGAACACAGATGTACAAATATCTATTTGAGTTCCTGCTTTTGCTTTTCATAGGTACATATCCAAAAGTGGAATTGTTAGATCATATGGTAATTTTATGTTTCGTTTTTTCTGGGGAAGCGCCACATCATTTTCACAGCACTGTACTATTTTACATTCCCACCAGCAATGCACAAGGGTTCTAGTTTCTCTGTATCCTTGCCAACATGTTATTTTTCTGTTTTTTGAAAATAGCCATCCTAATGGGTATGAAGTGGTATTTCATTATGGTTTTGTTTGCATTTCTTTAGTGACTAGTGATGTTGAGGATCTTTTCATGTGTTTATTGGCTGTTTGTATATCTTTGGAAAAATATCTCTTTGAATCTTTTGCCCGTTTAATATTCAGTTGTTTTTTTTATTGTTGAGTTGTAGGAGTTTTACAAATACATTCTGGATATCAGTCTGCTATTGCATATATGATTTGCAAACATTTTCTCTCATTCTGTGGTTGCCTTTTTACTCTATTTTTAGTGTCCTTTGATGCACACAACTTTTTAATGAGATTTAACTTATATGGTTTGTTGTTGTTGCCTGTGCTTGCTTTTGGTGTCATACCCAGAAAATAATTTTTTAATTACTATATAGTAATTCATAGTATGGTATACTATAATTTAACCAATCAATATGGACTTCAATTTTGAATTTTTTTTTTTTATGAGATTAAGAAAATGGTTGTGAAACCTGACACATAGGGGCTTAGTAATTGCTGTATAAATTAATAATAATGATTACTTTCATTACTGCTTGTTACTTCCTACTCCTAATCAGAAGATCATGTAGTCAAAGGACTATAGAACACACTGGAGATTGTTCTCAAGTACTCTGTATTTTCTCAGAATGAATTATCTCTTTTATTTTATTTTTTCCAAAAACCCCAGTGTTTAAATCATATGGGCCATGATTGGTAAAGGCAAAAGATTTGTAAGATCTGAAGAGAAACCAGAGTATGTGGGCCCCATTTTGGAATGAACTTGCTGCTTATTATAAAATGCAAAGTCTTCAAACACTCTTCCACAGAAAAATTCTGTAAGAAGACGTTTTTGTTTTTGTTTTGGGACAGAGTCTTGCTCTATCGCCAGGCTGCAGTGCAGTGGTGCGATTCCAGCTCACTGCAACTTCCATTTTCCAGTTTCAAGAGATTCTCCTGCCTCAGCCTCTTGAGTAACTGGGACTACAGGGACTACAGGCCTGTAGAACCACCACCTGTATTTCTTATTTTTATTTTTTATTTTTAGTAGAGATGGGGTTTCACCATGTAGACCAGGATGGTCTCAATCTCTTGACCTCGTGATCCGCCCGCCTTGGCCTCCCAAAGTACTGGGATTACAGGTGTGAGCCACCACACCCTGTGAAGAAGACTTTTTTTTAGGAGAGAAAGTATGGCTATAAAAGTTGCTCCAGCTTTTTTCCCCTAAGAATTAGCTAACATTTTTTTTAAAATCTTAATTAAAATATAACTCTCACATGCTATGAGAATCATCCAGTTACAGTATATAATACAGTGGCTTCTAGAATTATATCATGGTTGTGCAACCATAGTCACAATCTAAGTTTAGAATACTTTTATCAAACGAAATGAAATTTAGTACCCATTAGCAGTCACTCTTCAATCCCCACTCCCCACTGTTCGTGGCAACCACTCATCTGTTTTGTTTCCATAGATTTTTCTGTTTTGAACATTCTATATAAATGGAATCATGAGATATTACAGTCTTGTGCTTGACTTCTTTTACTTAACATGATGCTTTCAGGATTTGCCTATGTTGTAGCATATATTAATATTTCATCAGTTTTTATAGCAAAATAATATTTCAGGATGGAGAGATATATATACTCTATATCTTGTTTGTTCATTTATCAATTGATGGACATTTGGGTTGTTTCCACCTCTTGGTTATTATGAATAATGGTGCTGTGAACATTCATGTACGACTTTTTGTGTGAACATATGTTCTCATTTTTTTTGGGTATATAACTGGGAGTAAAATTGCCAAATCATATGGTAAGAATATGTTTAATTATTTGAAGAAATGCCAGACTGTATTCTAAAGTTACTGTACCATTTTACATTCCCACCATCAATGTCTGAGGGCTCCAATTCCTTCATATTCTAACCAGCCTTGTTATTGTCGGTCATTTTTATTTTAACTGTCCTGATGGGTATCAAGTAGTATCTCATTGTGACTTTGACTTACATTTTCCTGATGACAGATGATGTTGAACATCTTTTCATGTGATTATTGTCCATTTACATGTCTTTTTGAACAAAATATCTATTCAAATCCTTTGCCTGTTTTTAAGTTGCGTTGCCTTTTTATTACTCATTTGTAAGAGTTCTTTTTTTTTTTTTTTTTTTGAGACGGAGTTTCACTCTTGTTACCCAGGCTGGAGTGCAATGGCGTGATCTTGGCTCACCACAACCTCCGCCTCTTGGGTTCAGGCAGTTCTCCTGCCTCAGCCTCCTGAGTAGCTGGGATTACAGGCACGCACCACCATGCCCAGCTAATTTTTTGTATTTTTAGTAGAGATGGGGTTTCACCATGTTGACCAGGATGGTCTTGATCTCTTGACCTCGTGATCCACCTGCCTCGGCCTCCCAAAGTGCTGGGATTACAGGCTTGAACCACCGCGCCCGGCCAAGAGTTCTTAATACATGCCTGGTGCAAATCCTTTATCAGGTATATGATGTGCAAATATCTCTTTCCATTACGTAGGTTGTCTTTTTACTTTCTTGCTGCTATCACTTGTAGCATAGTGGTTTTGAATTTTGATGTCATCCAGTTTATCTATTTTTTCTTCATTTGAGCTTTTAGTATAGCATATAAAAAAGCTTTGCCCACTTCAAGGTCAAAATCTTTTAACTATGTTTCCTTCAAGAATTCAATAGCCTTAATTCTTATACCTAGGTCTGTGGTCCATTTCGAGTTAGTTTTGTGTATGGTATGAGGTGGGGATCCAGTTTCATTGTTTGACATGTGGATATTTAGTTGTTTGAGCACCGTTTGTTGATTATTCTATCCCCATTGAATTGTCTTTGTACTTTACCCCAAGTTTTCCTCCCAAATTTTATCTTGTTTTTGGAGTTCTTAGACCTTCCAGGTGCCACCATGGTTGACTCTTTAAATATTTTAAACTCATTCTGTCACCTTCTCAGCTTTTTGTTATTTCAGTACTAGAGTATTTGCCACTGAAACTGGGAAACATCTTAATATGTGTCTTAGTTCATTTTGTGCTACTATAACAGGATACTTGAGACTGAATAATTTATAGTGAACAGAAATTTATTTGGGTCATGGTGCTGGAGGCTGGGAAATCCAAGCACAAAGAGCTACATATGGTGAGGGCCTTCCTGCTGCATCATAATATGGCGGAAGGCATCACGTGGTATGCACATGTGGGCAAGTATGGGAGAAAACTTGCTTTGATAACAAACCCACTCCTGAAATAATGACATTAATTCATTCATGAGAGCAGAGCCCTCATGACCTAATCATCTCTTAAAGGTCCTACCTTTGAACACTGTTGCATCGCAGATTAAATTTCCAACACATGAACTTTGGGGAATACATTCAAACCAAAGCAAAATGGTTGATAGTGGTTTAGGGTGTTAATATATACCTGCCATTTATTCAGTACTTTTTTGTGCTTGCTAAGCATTTTTTATACATTATAAGAGAAAATAGAAGAGAATTCATCTCTGAAGAAATTTAATGAGATATCTTGGAGAGTGCTAATTAAGTTACTATTGTAGGTGCCCTAGTCCCTTCTTGTTTGGGATTTAAGACTGCTGCCATCTTGATTGCTGGTTCTTTGCCCACTCTGGCTAAAGTTAGGCCTGCCCATGTACACTGTGTCTCCAGCCAGACTTCTCACTTAGGAGAGGCCTTGGTGAAAAACCCACTGACTGAATTTTCTTAGCTAGGGCCTTCTCTTTTTCGTGATTCCTAAATGTTTGAAGTGCTCTGTGGCTTTGTCCTCAGACATCTCTCTTTTTTTTTTTTTAAGTGCAACATAAACTAATTATTATTATTCATATATTTTCTCGATGCTGTGATTTTGTCCACATTTTTACTCTGCCCTTCATGTAATTTCATACTCCCTGTTCTCTGTATTTTTGAATCCTACCAATTCTTCAAGACCCTTAGTATCTGTCACTTCTCTTTGAAGATGACAATCTCGCTGCTCAAAACCATTGTTTCTCTTAACTTCTTACAGTATGTTATTTGTTCTACTCTTACATCAGAAATTGCCCACTAACTTTTAATATATTTTCTCTCTACATATATGCATGTGTGTGTGTGTGTGTGTGTGTGTGTGTGTATATGTATATATGTTTTTCTCTCGGAGTTTCTGTCTGTCACCCAGGCTGGAGAACAGTGGTACAATCTCGGCTCACTGCAACCTCCACCCCCTGGGTTCAAGCGATTCTCCTGCCTCAGCCACCCTAGTAGCTGGAACTACAGGCATACACTACCATGCCTAGCTTTTTTTGTATTGTTAGTAGAGATGGGGTTTCACCATGTTATCAGGATACTCTTGAACTACTGATCTCAAATGATCTGCCCGCCTTGGCCTCCCAAAGTGATCGATTACAGGTGTGAGCCACTGCACCCAGCCCTATTTTTATATTTTTATTGAACCAGGGTCTCATTTAGCCACCTAGTCCGGTGGCATGAACCAGGCTCACTGCAGCATTGACCTCCCTGGGTTCAGGTGATCCTCCCTCCTCAGCCTCCTGAGTAACTGGGACTACAGGTGTGCATCACCATGCCCAGCTAAATTTTGTATTTTTTGTAGAGACTTGTCTGGAACTCCTGGGCTCAAGTTATCCTCCTACCTTGGCCTCCCAAAGTTCTGGGATTACAGGCATGAGCCACTGTGCCCAGTTCATTTTGAGGACTTCTATTTCTTTTTTTGAAATGTAAAAAAGGCAAAATACAAAACTATAAATTAAAAATAATTATACCTATGTTTTACTTGTATTAGATCATAAGCTGTTGGAGAAAAGGCTCTGTCTTTCATCTTGGTAATCTATATTTTAACATCTGGCAGAGTGAACTAATGCATTTTAAGAAAACACTTTGCTAAATTTTCAAAAGAATGGTGAGGATAATGACATACTGTGATTAGAGGGAAGTTTTAAAGTTGCCTTTTGTGATATATGCATAAGGACAGGAGTGAAACAGGAAACGGGAAAATTTTATTAGTGGGTATCTGATTTTTTTAAGTTTATTTTTGTTTTTCATTAATGCATTAAGGAATATTAAAATAATAAAAGTTGTTGCCTTTTTATAAGTGTAGTCATCTTCAGACTGGTGTAATCTAGGAGTTGTGACCAACCGAAATATATCTCTCTTGACTTCTGTTGTGAAACTATACTGTTAGGAAATTTGATCAGCCCGAAGCAAGTTCTAGGCTCCTTAATGAAAGCTGTTAAGTTTTAGGTCAGCAGATACTTATTTAATTTTAGCTTAGCCTTTGGAGTTTGATTAAAATTTTAAGACATTCTTTCCTTTGTTGTTTTCTTTTTTCTTCATTTTTAATTGACAAATAGTAATTGTGTATATTTATGGGGTACAGTGTGATGTTTTGATCTATGTATACATTATAAAAGGAATCAATCAAGCTAGTTAATATATCCAGCATCTTTTTTTTTTTTTTTAATCTTGCTCTGTCTCCATCTCCCAGGCTGGAGTGCCCTGATGCCCAGGCTGACGGGCAGTGGTGTGATTATTAGTTCACAGCAGCCTCAACCTCCAGGGCTCAAGGACCTCAAGGAATTCTTTTGGTTCAGCCTCCTCGGTAGCCGGGACTACAGGTGTTTGCCACCATGCTCAGCTAATTTTCTTAAACATTTGTTGTTGTTGTTGTTGTTTAGATGGGTCTCATTTTGTAGCCCAGGCTGGTATGAAATTCCTAGCTTCAAGCAATCCTATGGCCTTGGCCTCCCGAAGTGCTGGGATTACAAATGTGAGCCACTGCACCTAGCAACATATCTTCTTACCAACTTATTATTTCTTTGTGGTAAGAATGTTAAAATACATTCTTTCGGAAGTTTTGAAATATACATTAACTGTGGTCACCATGCAGTTCAGTAGTTCACAAAAACTTATTCCTCCAGTCTAACTGAAACTTTGTACCCTTTGATCAACATTTTTGCTTTCCCCATTCCTCCTTTTATCCTCACCCCCAGCCCTTGGTAACTACCCCTACTGATTTTCTTACTTAAGTATTGCCAGCATTCTAAGAAGATTCCAAGTGGCAGCAGTTGAAGTTTTCATGAGAAATTCTTTCACTGTCAATATAAAGAAACATAGTTAAAGGTTAGCATAGTTGACCCTTCCTTGATAAGCAGTAATATAATGCAGAAAGAAAACATTCCTCAAAAGAAAAATTCCTATAAGATCTTTATTGTCCTTAGAATTCTACAGCTGACTTTTCAGATAAGGCCCAGACATAGTACTTAAAAATAAGTCAGTGTTAATGCATACTTGTTATGTGCCAGATATCATTCTACGAGTATGTACATGTATGCATAAAGTATGTATATGAACCTAGTTCTCACAACAACACCATTAGGTAGATACTGTTATTTTCTCCATGCTACTAATGAGGAAAACTCAGGCACAGAGAGGATAAGGATAAGTAACTTGCTCAAAATCACACAGTTAACAAAAGAGAACATCCAGGAATAAACCCATGTATCTGGTTGCAGTTTCTTTATTCTCCTCCCTCCCTTCTTACTTTTAGTTTGTTTCTTTAAGTTATACATACACATTGATTAAAGAATATAATAGTTTCATAAGGTTTATTATGAAAAGTTTATTATTATTCCTTCATTTCTCTGTTTCCACAGGTAACTACTTTTAGCTGATTATTTCAGTGTTTATGTACGTGTGTCTAAATAATGTACTTGTTTTATTGCCTGATTTATTACTTGTAGACATGATTTATTCTGCTATTAAAAATGATTATTTGGCTGTCCTCTCCTCTTCTTCACAATTAATTCCCAGTCTACTCTTAGTTATTTCATAATTTTAGTTAGATCAGTGTTTGATGTTTATATTCATATATTATGTAAACACTGTCTTCAGCTGAGCCATGTTGTAAGCTGTACTATTTTTTCTTTCCTGACACTTTATTTTCGTAAAAGGTTATAATTACCTTTTCTTGTGATGTAGTTTGTAATGCACTTATCACTAGTTTACATCTTTGCCAGTTGTCTAAATCATACATATCTTCACTCAGTTTCATGTTCTTAAATAAATCTCTTCTGGAGCCTTTTGACTAGATGTATGGCAGTCGTACTGGGATCTTTATTATTTTAGGGGATTCCTTTTGCTTGTTTCCTGTGTTGGATCTTCTATTGCTTCATTTTTTGTATTATCCCACCATGGCGGAGCCAGTAATACCACCCAGTAATTTCTTGAGAAACGGTCATGGCAAGTAGACTTTTTTGTGACCTGGCACGTCTGCCCAAAAAAATCTTTAAGTCCACATTGACTGTGTATAACATTTTAGGTTAGAATTTTTTCTCAGAACGTTTATTATATGTTTCATTACCTTTTAGTTTCCAGTGTTGCTATTAAAAAGTCTAAGGCAATTATGACTACTTACCTTTCGTGTGTGATCTTTTATACCTTCTAAAAAGTTGTAGATTCCTAATTTTTTGGCAGCATTTCTGCAGTTTCACAGACCCTTGCCGAGGGTCTGTTTTCATTAATTCTCCTGGGCACTTGATGGGTCCTTTGATTGTAGAAACTTTTGTTCTCTCTACTGGAAGCATTTCTTCATTTTCTGTTCTCTTTTTGAGTCTCCTTTTTTCAGTTTTCTGAATTTCTCTGGACTCTTCTACATTTCTTATTCTTTCTTTTCTGTTTTCTGTCTTTGTGCCCTTTGGCTCTATTTTCTCAACTATATTTTCCAGTTTTCTACTGGACTTTAAAAATTTCTCCTCATATTTTAAATTTCCATGAACTTCATTTTTATATCTGAATTTCAGTCTTTTATAGTATGCTGTTATTTCATAGTTGCATTTTCTTTTCTTACCTCTCTTACATTAATGAATACATAGTTTAAATTTTCTTCTCTCTACTTGGTTTGTTTCCTTTGAGTTGCTTTTTCCCCTATTTTGTGTTTCACTTTTTAAAAAAATTAATTTGTTTATTTTTATTTTTTACTGTACTTTAAGTTCTGGGATACGTGTGCAGAATGTGCAGATTTGTTACATCGGTGTACACATGCCATGGCACATATTAGAGTTGTCTTCAGCTGTCCAGTAATCCTTGATTGACTGCTCCTATCTAAGGATAGGGTACTAAAAGCTGATTGGAAGCTCTCAATCCATGATTAGAGGTTGTCTGTGTGATCTTTACTTGAGGTAATCAAGCTGAGCAGTTTAGGTAGTGTAGGAATTGGAATTGCCATAACTGCAACTCCCAAAATCTTCATGACTTAACATAATAAAAGTTTATTTCTCACTTATGTCAAGTCCAGCATTGGTGTTCTTGGTCATCTAGAATCTTCCATGTTGGTGTTTTATCTTCTCTTATTCTTGAGAAGGGGCCAAAGGAACTTCTATATCTGGTAAGCGTGGAAGATTTTGCAGAAGTTTTTATGAGTGAGGCTTGAATAGTATATTTTCAACAACCTGATCATCTGGGAGGAAAAAAAGCTCTGAATTATAGCATTTGCTGATTTTTATGGTGTAAATACTTCACCATGATCAACTTCAGGCTATTGACATAATGTCACTGAAGGCAGAATTAGGAAGAGATACACCCAATAGGCTTTCATGCCAGCTCTGGCATACCACTGTCACTTCCAGCCACATTCCACTGGCCACAACTGTGTTGTATGGCACCACCTAAATTCAAGAGAGGATGGACTTGTGTGTCCTGGAAGTAAGGAAACTAGGTTTTAGTGAACAGGTAACAGTTTCTGCCATAGATGATATCTCCATTATTATTATCTTTAGATCTATCTAGTTAGAGTTCCCTCAGATTTATGTTCCAGTCTCCTGCCTAGATGGTGAAGAAGGTCTGGCTTTAGTTACTCTGAGAACTGATTAGACAGGATCCTGTAGTATCTGCACATTTCCATAATTCCCATGTTTTCAGTGTGGTCCCTGATTTTATTTTATGTTACTTCTGTAACAAATTATCGCAGACTTAGTGGCCTAAAGCAACACAAACTTACTGTATGGTTCTATGGGTTAGAAGGCAGACATGGGTTTTGGTATAGCTGCATCCCTTTCTGGAGGCTCTAGGGAAGAATCTGTGTTCTTGCCTTTTCTAGCTCCAGAAGCCACCCTCATTCCTTGCTCATGGCTTCTATTCTTTATGTTCATAGCCAGCTGTATGGTATATCTCTGATTCATTTTCTCTAGTCACATCTCCCTCTGACCACAGCCCAGCAAAGAGTCTCAGATTTTAAACTACCATGTGATACAATTAGGCCCACCTATATAATCTGGGATAATCTCTTCATCTCAGAGTTGTTAATCACATTTACAAAGGCATTTGTCATGTTAACCACACATACTAACAGGTTCCAGGGATTACAATGTTGTCATTTTTTGGTGGGCTATTCTGCCTACCACAGTACCCCTTGCTCTCTGAAAACCCTCCCTTTGATCTATTCCTATTAATAAAATTTAAAACTTTTCTTGGAGATGGTAATGGGAATTTAGTGATCCTTCTGCTTTTTAAACAAACTTTTAGTCCTTATTTTCCAGTACTCTCTTCATCCTATTTCCAGGCATATGTAAATGCACCAATTCATGAGTTTTTGCCTATTTTGTGACACAAATTGAGTTAGTTTTTTGATTTCCTTCTCACCAATTTAGGACTAAATTTTCTGAGAATACTTTAACACTTATTTAAACACTTTCAAGATTTTGTTGTTCTTGCTTTCCTTTCCCATTCTCCTCATCCTGGTGTGTTTATGCCTTTACAGAAAAGCCCTTTAATGTTGTCTTAGCTGGGGTTTGGGTAGGCAACAAAGGCAGATGTGTGTTTAATTTACCATCTTGATTAGAACACAGCTTGCATGTTTACCATACTGCCTTAACTTTATTGGCTCTTCTTTTTGTATGTGTAAGGTAACCCAGGTTTTGGATAATATACATGGATATGGACCCTGTCTTCTAGATTACAAATTTATTTATTCAGTATACTTTTATTGGCTCTACATCAGCCACTTTGGTGAGCATTTCAAATACGAAGCTCAGATTCTGGTGTTATAATTCAGATTACTACAAAGGAAATTTGAGCACATTGTTATGAGTGTATAATAGGAATAGAAACAGTACCAAGGAGTCATGGAGAAAGAAGGGACTAGTTTTAATTGAGAGTCAGGAAAGACTTCATAGAAGTCATAAGGTTCGAGCTATGTCTTAGAAAGAGTGTTGCTGGAGAATGGAATGAGGAAGTTGTTCCCAGACAGAAGTGGGAAAATATGAAGAAGGTGAATGATAAGAATTTCGGTGTGGCTGGAGCAAATTATATAAGGGAGAATAAAGAGATGATGAAACTTCAGGGATTGGTCTGGCTTAGATTTTGAAGAACATTTTATGACATGGTAGGGAGTTTATATTTAGGTCATATAAATTGGATAGTGGTGGCATGATCTTGGCTCACTGTAACCTTCACCTCCTGGCCTCAAGCAATCCTCCTAACAGCTTCCTAAGTAGCTGGGGCTACAGACATGCACTACCATGCATGGCTAATTTTTTGTAGAGACAGGGTTTTGTCATGTTGCCCATGCTGGTCTCAAACTCCTAGACTCAAGAGATCATCTCACCTCAGCCTCCCAAAGTGTTGGGATTACAGGCATGAGTCACTGAAACTGGCCAAAATTTTCTTTCTTTTTTTTTTTTGAGATGGGGTCTTGCTGTGTTGCCCAGGCTGGTCTTGAACTTCTGGGCTCAAGTGATCCCCTCCGGCCTCCAAAAGTGCTGGGATTATAGGTGTGAGCCGCTTTGCCCAACCAAGAATCATTCATATTTAAAGGTGTGGTTTAGTTCTTTCTTCAACTTACTTTTTATAGGATTCCATTGTACAATTCCATTCCATAATTTATCCTTCTGTGACTGGTGGACATTTGTGTCATTTTCAACTTCTCTTATTGTTAATAAACAATGCTTTTATGAACATTCTTTTGTGTGTCTCCTGGTACACAGGTTAAGAGATTTTTTTTTATGTACAGTTGACCCTTGCAAGGGTCCACCTAATGCAGCTTTTTTTCAGTAAGTATATTGGGAAATTTTGGGGGATTTTTGACAAATTGAAAAAACTTGCAAATTATGTAGCCTAGAAATACCAAAAAATTTAAGAAAAATTTTGGAGGTATGTCGTCAATGCATAAAATACAGTTGATACTAGCTTATTTTATCATTTACTACCGTAAAATATACACAAATCTATTGTAAAAAGTTAAAATATATCAAAATTTATGCAAACACTTGGAGACTGGACATGGTGCTACTCTTAATGGAGAGGACTGTAAAAAATATAAAGATGCAGTATTATAACTGTGTAAAATTAACTGATTTACACTACACTACTGTAATAATTCCAACATTCTGTTGCTATTATGGTGAATTCAGATTTTTTGAGAATCTACTTAAAATGTTGTGTGATGCTAATCGTCTCCTGGTGAGCAGTTTGTCTCTCCAGTAAATTGCACATCACAGTAAAAAGTGCTTTCTCCCAATTCTGTATAATCTGTTATCATGTTTGTTATAATATCATAAATGTTGAATAACACTGTGAGAGTCATATGAAGTGCTACTAGTGTTGTTGGAAGTGCTCCCAAGCAGCAGAGAAATGTAATGACATTACAAGAAAAAGTTGAGTTGCTTGATATGTAGCTTAGATAGAGGTCTGTGGCTATGGTTGCCCACTATTTCAAGATAAGTGGATTTAGCAAAAGGACTATTATAAAGAAAATAAAATTCGTGAGCGGGTGAGGTGGCTCTCGCCTGTAATCCCAGCACTTTGGGAGGCCAAAGTGGGCGGATCATTTGAGGTCAGGAGTTTGAGACCAGCCTGGCCAACATGGCAAAACCCCATTTCTACTACAAATACAAAAATTATGGCTGGGTGCAGTGGCTCATGCCTGTAATTTTAGCACTTTGGGAGATCGAGGCAGGTGGATCACCTGAAGTCAAGAGTTCAAGACCAGCCTGGCCAACATGGTGAAACCTCGTCTCTACTAAAAATACAAAAATTAGTTGGGCATGGTGGTGGGCCATGTAATCCCAGCTACTTGGAAGGCTGAGGCAGGAGAATTGCTTGAACCCAGGAGGCAGAGGTTGCAGTGAGCTGAGATCACACCATTGCACTCCAGCCTGGGCACCGGAGCAAAAACTCCGTCTCAAAAAAGTAAAATGAAATAAAAATACAAATACAAAAATTAGCCGTGCATGGTGGCAGGTGCCTGTAATCCCAGCTACTCAGGAGGCTTAGGACAATTGCTTGAACCCGGGAGGCGGAGGTTGCAGTAGCCAAGATTGTGCCACTGCACTCAAACCTGGGCAACAGAGAGAGACTCCATTTAAAAGAAATAAGAAAGAAAATTCATGAATCTGTAGCTATAGCTATGCCAATGAGTGAGAAAACTTTGCACCCTTTGCAAAATGCCTTTTTATCTCATTGAAAATGCAGCTCTTATCTATAAGAATGGCGTACCTACAGAATATGATTTGAGAAAAAGTGAAGTCATTATATGATAGCATAAAGCATAAGGAAGGTAAAGCATCTAAAACTGGAGAATTTAATGCCAGCAAAGGGTGGTTTGATGCTTATAGAAAGAGATTTGACTTTAAAAATGTATAACAGGATAACAGGAGAAGCCATCTGTTGTGGACCAAGAGGTAACAGAAGAGTTTCTAGGTGCCGTTAAGAAAATCATTGTGGAGAAAGGATGTCTGCCTGAACAGGTTTTTAATGCAGATGAAAGTGCCTTATTCTGAAGAAACAAACAAACAAAAATTCTACCGCAAAGGACATTTTTTAGAAAGGAAGAGGAACAAGCCCTAGAATTTTAAGCAGGAAGGTATAGGCTAACTCTACTGTTTTGTGCAAATACATTCAGGTTAATGATGAAGACTGTCTTTATAAAGCTGCTAATACCTGAGTCTTGAAGGGAAAGGATAAACACCAGCGTCTAGTCTCTTGGTTGTAGAAGAAGGAGTGGATGAGAACCCTTTTTCTGGATTGAGTCCATAGATACGTTTTCCTAGTTGAAGAAGCTCACTAGGCCTTCGTCTCTGGAAGCCGTTGGGGGTGCCCTTCCTCTGTCTCCCTGGTTGACTGCTCGTTGGGGAAACCCAGGATCTCCGACTGCCTGGACATTGGTGTTGCCGCCCCCTCGGGTTTTGTCTCAGGCTGTGCCTGGGGCTCTGCCTGGGGCTGTGCCTGGGGCTGTGTCTCTTCCTCAGGCTCCAGCTTGTTGGCAGACCTCTTGGCAGAGTCAGGTTTGGGGGTCCTCAAGGTTTCAGTTCCACGGGAGCTGTCCCCCTCCTTGTTGGTGGTCACAGAGGGCAGTCCCCATGCCTTGGGCTGCATCCAGCAGTGGCTGAGGATCTCGTCGATGTGGAGCCGCCGGTTGACATCTGGCTGCAGCATGCGGTAGATGAGGTCCTTGCACTCGCCTGTCAGGTGCTTGGAGCGTGGAAAGTTGACGCGGTGCTCCTTCTGGATACGCACCATCTTCCTAATGTTGGAGTCGTCGTAGGGCATGGAGCCGCAGACCATAATGTAGAGGATCACGCCCAGGCTCCAGATGTCATACACCTTGGGCTGATAGGGGATGCCCTGCAGCACCTCAGGGGCCGCATAGGCTGGTGACCCGCAGAAGGTCTTGCTTAATGTCATTCGACCATTGTCGTCCCTCAGGCAGCGCTTGGAGAAGCTAAAGTCAGACAGCTTGATGTTGAAGTCCTTGTCGAGGAGAAGGTTGTCACACTTGAGGTCCCGGTGGACGACATCCAGGTCGTGGCAGTACTTGATGGCCAAGGAGAGCTGGTGGAACTTCTTGCGAGCCTCGTCCTCGTGCAGGGCTCCCCGGGTTTTGATTAACTCGAGGAGATCGCCCTGGACTGCGAGCTCCATGACAATGTAGACCTTACCATGTGATGTCTCAAAGATCTCATAGGTCTTGATGATGGAGGAGTGGTTTAACATGGCCAGAATCTCAAGTTCCCGGGGAAGGAATTTCTTCAAGAAGTCTGCGGGGGCTTTCTTGCGGTCGATGATCTTGATCGCCACGTTGGACTTCAGGCGCTCAGAGTAAGCGGATTTTACTTTTGCATAGGAGCCCTCTCCTAAATGTATCCCCAGGAGGTAGCCTCGTCGCTTGAGGACTGCAGCGTCCTCCATAATACTGGGAGTGCCCAGTGCCTCTGAGGCTGCCCTCTACAGCCCCAAGGGGCATGGGCCAGCAGTATGCTCATTTACGTTCTGGATAGAGTCCTTTGGGCTGCCCAGGCCTGCTGTTCCTGCCTCCTAGAACCCAAGACTCTGGGGTGGAACTTTGGCACTGTCTCCCAGGTGACTTCAGTGGGTGAAGTCACAAAGGAAGAGTGCCCTGTGGGAATGAGGCTCTGGCCTGAGGCACTTGGACATGGAACCCTGAAGTCTGGCTAGTGGGCTGGAGGAGACAAGACAAGCAGAGAGTGGCCTCGCACCTGGCTGGGACCTGAGGTAGGAGGAGTTTGTGTGGGACACATGGGTCTGCCCATGCTCCAAACCCAGAGCCAGGACTGCTTGTGCAGAAGTAAGGCCAGTTCTTGCAAACCAGGGCCTCTAAGGAGGGTTTAATAAAGGGACGATTAATAAAGGTGCGAGCAGAGTGTAGAGAACCCTGAGGGTAACACAGGCATCCGAAGGTAGTAGCAGATCCCTGGCCTGCATGGAAAAGAGTGGGAATGGTCCCTGGAACCAAGAAAGAGGAGTATAGACTGTGGGGGCTGGCATGTCTGCCGGGGGACTCTTGGCCAGCAAGAGGGTCCCAACCTGGATAGGGGGGCATGCGGAAGAGAAGAAGAAAGAACAGACGGGGTCTGGAGGGTTGAGAAGTCAGATGCTTCACCAACAGTTTTATTGAACTCAGGGCCTGGTTATATACATTACAAGTAGAAGTGTTTACATCATGGGATCAGTGTTTTGTGGGAACAGAAAGTTTTACAATGCAATCACAAGTCACCATATTTTGGATAAATATGCTCGGAACAGGGAGATACATCATCAGCTTAAAGTGGGGGGTGCAATTATCAGTCACAAGAGTCCAGGTGCAATATCTAAGTTTAAAAGTTTAAAAGAAACTACTTATCTAGGGCAGGAGTTTCACAAGAAAATCACAGGCTACATTATAAATCATTAAGTCACAAGCAGTATTGTAAATACCATATCAAGGGTCCAGGTGCAGGAAAGATATAAACAAAGCGATGTTTACTATCAGCTTGCTTTGAAGATTTATGTCATAACTTTAAGAAGAAACTGTAATGAATAAACAAAAGTGGACACTGTAAGAACCAAAAGTAGACACTGTGAGAACCAAAAGTGGACACCGTGAGAACCAAAAGTGGACACTGTGCCTCCCATCACCTCAGCACAATAGAGTAATAACTCATGTTATTTTTTGTATATCACGTAAGCCTTCTTGCAGTCCTTCTTTCCCATAGCTCGACTACCTCCAACAGGGGGCCTGTGTCCGGGATCAAGCTCAACCATATGGTGTGACCCACTACTTGGGGGTCTCACATGGGAGCGTTCCCATAGTAGACAGGGCTACCTTGAAAGAGGCAGTGCCCTTCAGAGGACAGAAAGAGCCAGCTTTAGTGACCCTACAGGCTGGCAGCGGATGGGAGGAAGTCTCATTCCTGACCTCTTTCTCTTCCCTTCAGCCCTCGATGCTGTCCACACAGGCAGCCCTCAGGGATGCAGAGCAGGGTCAACAAGGGTGGTGTGTCAAAACAGTAGAGAGCCTCCTGACCATGGAGTGGCACAGTTTGAGAAGCATGGATTCTGCCCTCTTCCCTCATCTGAGCCTTTGCTGGCTTCTTACAGCAGCTTTGTGGGAGGACAGCCAGCAGGAGTTCTTGGCTGTGAGCTCCCTCCTGGGGACCTTCCCTGTCCATGGCCCTGGCTGGTCTCCCACGGCAGATCTGGGACTGGGGGCCAAAGGCAGGGCCTGGATGCCACCCTGAGCACCGGCAACTGCTCAAAGGACATTATAAGCAGCAGGGCCAGCACTGGACAGCGACCATCATTTCTGCTGGCCATGGAGCCTCTGCTGTGACTGGCTCTGTCTACCGCACCTGCTCCAGGCCATGTCCTGGGGGAGTAGGAGTCGCATAACTGTCCTAGCTTTGGGTTTGACTGTGGTGTCATCCACCTAGAGGGAGTGAGCACTCCTTTCTCACATGAGCCAAGAGGAACCCTGGGCCCCTCTGGATTGAGTTGGTAGGGCTGGATGTTGCTTAGGCTGCATTGGGTCCCCACCAGCCATGGCCCTTCTCCCTTTTCTCTGCTCTTTCACCTTCTTTCCCATCCCTGACTGCCCACTGCCAGTCCTTTGTGCGTGGTTGGTGCTCCTTCCTCCAGACAGCCTCCTTCTCCTTCCTGCTGGGGATACCCCAAGTGCTGTCTCTTGGAAACCAAAAACAAAATTCTAAGCTCCCCAGCCATCTGAATGGACCCCTCCTCTCACCCAAGGGCTTTCCAAAGCTAGTCTGAAAAACTAGTCCAGGCTGTGATAGGAAGTGGGGGTCAGGCAGGCCTCATCATCCCTCCTCCCTTTAGGTTTCAGGCACAGCTGAGCAAGGATAACATCGATACAGAGACTTGAAGACAACAGACTCTGGTAGTAAGGTACAGCAGGACCTGAACTCAAGTGTTTTACTATAAAACATTTCTTATTTATTTATTTATTTTTTTGAGACAGAGTTTCGCTCTTGTTGCCCAGGCTGGAGTGCAATGGCGCGATCTCGGCTCACTGCAACCTCCACCTCCTGGGTTCAGGCAATTCTCCTGCCTCAGCCTCCTGAGTAGCTGGGAATACAGGCACACACCACTATGCCCAGCTAATTTTTTTGTATTTTTAGTAGAGACAGGGTTTCACCATGTTTACCAGGATGGTCTTGATCTCTTGACCTCGTGATCCACCTGCCTCGGCCTCCCAAAGTGCTGGGATTACAGGCTTGAGCCACCGCGCCCGGCCAAAACATTTCTTTGATGTATTTTGAAATGGCTCTGCAAAGTTGTCTCTTGTGAGGAAAATCTATATTCTGTAAAGACTAGCCTTCCCTTTCCAGGTGTTTTCTCCTGAGAGAATTAACTAGATTCTGTTAAGAAACATTAACGGTGTGTTCTTTCTGAAGCCTGGTACCTGGAGGCTTCATCTGCCTAAGAACCTTGGTTTCCACAACCATTTTCCCAGAGACAGTCCCTCCTATTCATTCATTCCAGGTCTTTAGATAAACTCTTTGAGCCAATTGCCAATCAGAAAATCTTTGAATCCACCTGACCTGGAAGCCCCCCTCTCACTTTCAAGTTGTCGTTCCTTTTCAACTGAACCAATGTACACCTTACATATACTGACTGATGTCTCGTGCCTGCCTAAAATGTATAAAACCAAGTTGTAGCCCTACCCCCTTGGCACTTATTGTCAGGATCTCCTGGGGCTGTCCCAGGCCATTGGTCACATATTGGTTTAAAAGAAACCTCTCTAAAAAAAAGGTTTATCTGTATTGCTGTCTACAATGAAAAATATCCAAAGTTATGTTTGTAATTAAACAGCAAAAAAATTTATTTTGGTCTCAATGCTGTTTTTTTTTTTTTTTTTTTTTTTTTTTTTTTTTTTTTTTAACCTAGTTATCCTTCTAAGGCAATAGGGAAAGACAAGCAGAGGGAAATGCTAAAGAGAGCAGGGAAGACAGCTTCTGGCAAATTGGGCTTTCTCATCTGTGTGTCCCCTGGCTGCCCTCAGCACAGAGCTTTACACACAAACACTGGCTGAGTGACTGATCATGGCAAAGAAAGGGAGAGAAAAAAAAATTCATTTTCCTTCATTGCTCCCTTACACCTGTTATGTTCTATGTCTTCCAAGGATAAAGACAATGAGATATGAGGTATTCACTCAAAATGATAAATAATTCTTTGGGATTATGTAGAAATAATTACATCTAAAATCCTAAACTGATAGGATCATTGAATATTTATTTGCATGTTATAAAAATCTGGGCCACAGATGATACACATACACTCACACATATATATAGACATACAGAACACCTGGAGATGAAGCAGAAATAGTGCTGCACTTGGATGATACCTGTTTTGGCTCAAAATTCCCTGACCTGTATTCTGAAATCTAGTCTGCAGTCTCTCCCACACCTTTTGTCTTTTGCTTCTTTAGATGTTTTAAATTCCAAAGTCTCCTTATCTACATCGAAGGTAGTTGAGTTATTCTAAAGCCCTGACCAAGGTATTTTATTATTGATTTGGTTGCTCTTGGGTGTTGAGTGAATAGGTAAATATATGCTGTGCGGAGAATTTTGGCAGGAGTGGTAAGGGGCTCCGGCTCTCAGCTTCACACCTCAGGTCTGCTCCTTCAGTGCTATGTGGGATTATCTTTGGGTATCATTCCATAGGTTGGGAAGGCATTCTAAAATTGATGCTGCAGCTGTCAGTATCATCAGTCTACGGGATACATGTGGAGCTAGCTCATTGTTATTTTAATTTTTATTTCACTTAATTACTACTGAGGTTCAGTATCTTTTCATTTCTTTGTGGACCATTGTGTTTCTTTTCCTGTGAAATTCCTGTTTTTGCTCAGTTTTCTGTTGCAGTGTTTAGGGAGTTGACTCTTACTGAAATATGAATTGCCTAGTCGAGCTTAATAAATATTTATTGAGCCAATTCTTGGCTTTAGATTAGCTTATATAAAGATGAGTAAGGTGGATGGACTCTTACCTCAATTTGTATTTAGTAAAGAGTAAACTTAATTTGAAGCTCCATAGTTCTATTTCTTTCCTCCATTCAAGTATAGATTAGCTATATTAATTATTTATAACTTTGCCTTTCTGATTCAGTGTACTCATTTGGAAGATAATCAGCTTTGACTAGTTAATATCTAGTTTCCCTTTTACCAGTCTGTGTAATTAATATTTCTAATTGTTGGTTTTTCAAACTTAGAAATATGTTGCTTTTATTATAGTGGTAAATATAAATAATTGTATTTTTCCTTTTCATCAAAAAATGTTGGATTTTGCTTCTGTAAGGTGTAATTTAAGTCACTTATCCAGAGATCCCTCTCTTAGATGGAATTCCCAGACAGATATTACTACCTTTGATTTTTAAAATTCTTAAAATGCTATTAAATCTATATACTCAATCCTAATATATATATGAATTATTCTTCCTCAGAGTGAAGATACACAACAGCAAATCATCAGGGAGACTTTCCATTTGGTATCTAAGAGAGATGAAAATGTTTGTAATTTCCTAGAAGGTGGATTGTAAGTA